TATCCCCCCGCTGTACCTCCTCCTTCTCGCTGAGACTTCAAGACAAACCGTTCTGCTGCTGACAAGGCCACTGATACTGTTTTGTCCCTCTCTGGACCCTGTAGACGCGCGCAACCACAGAGAAATAAATCAGAGGAATAAAATGCAAATGATATTGCTTACACTGAACAGCAACACCCAGGTGAGGATTATCTAATGGCAAATTTTCCAAACAATGAAAAAAACGTGCCCTTTTTCTCACCGTGTCTAGAGTGTTAAGGTCAGCCAATGTCGCTCGGATCTGCTGCACAGCTTGAGGCTGGTCTGGGAAGAATCTGTCCAGGACTCCAGGTCTGGGGAGCACTTGCTGAACCTTCTTGGTACCAGCCAGGTGAGCGCTGATATCTGGACACTTCACAGCTCGAGAGCGCTCCATGAGGAGACGAGCATCCCAGCTCTGCAATTGAAAACAGACAATGAATTCTCTGCTTGTCTTTTTATCATTAGATGTATTTCTGTATTAAAAAATTCCGTTTATTGGGCCACTTTGTGCTAGAACAATTTTTCCAGCATAAAAGAGCCTCTATCATTTCACTAACTTTTGGAATCTTATTTCACTGCTGCTAATGACGTTTCACAAACTGTCACAGGTTTTTTAGCTTCGTTCGTATAAACTTTCTCGTGGTTGAGATTCCTGAGAAAACAGCCAGCACACTGAGCAGCAGAGGGTGACAACAGTTGGTTTATAATACGCTGAGATTTGACAGACAGAGACAGAAGAATGAAGGAGAACAACACAGAGTCACGCTATCAAGGAGAACCTGGACGGTAGATTCAGCAATTTGGCTTGAAACTTGCAAACTGTTTTAACTTGTTATGTCCGATTAAGTTTTCCTTCCAGGATGCTCGCCAGTTTTCTTTCACTTGTTTCCTGTTCCTGCCAGCAGAATGCACACACAGCTGCAGTAACTACACACAATGTTGCAGAAAACATGGAGCAGCAACAAACATGTGCTGGTCTCTAATCACCCATTCAAACTGACACAGCGACAGGTCTGTGGTCACTTATATCAGCCAATCAGGGCTAGACTTGGTGTTGCTTAGCAGGGAAAGAAATAAACTCAATGCTCCAGTTTCTCATGAATACGAATCACTTTAAGCAAGTCTGCAGGTTTCATTTAGTGTTTTTAACTAAACTCTTTGATGTAGTCATTCTGAGTGCAAATCAAAAGTTGGACCTGTTCAGAAGTGTAGTTGTCAGGCATGTAACCGTTCCTGAAATACACCACAGTTTGCCGTCCCTGAAGTGAAAGTGACACAAAAGACACATTAATCCATGTCGACACACAGCGACCTCCATCTCCTCTTCATCCAGTTTGGAGGCCTTCCTTGAAGTCTCTCGTGCTGCTGTCCACTGGGAATCCCCACATGTGCCTTTTCCCCGTGTCTATGACATGTAACAAATATAAAAAAATAGCAAGAATTATAAAGTAAATGACAAGATTTTCCATTTACTCTAATTTAACAGTAGTCATCTTGCAGAAGACAGTCGTTTGGTTACTATAGTAAAAACTATTATGTCAAATTAACCAAAATGAAAAACAAAATCACCTAAACTTGCATTTTTCACTGCCTTCTGTAAAGTGTCAACAAATGCAGACATTTTGCTGTCTTCAGCAACAAAAACGCCATCATTTTTCCTTCTATTAGTCCCACATATGATCGTTGTAAACTTGGAGAAGCCTCTCTCACTCATTTATTTTGGACTTGCCCCAAATTGCATAACTATTGGTTGGACAGTTTTAAATGTTTTTCTGATATCTACAATTGCACATTAGAGCCGGACCCAATAACTGCATTGTTTGGATCTTCCTCTTCCCTTTTACACCTCTTTGATGTGTGGCATTTTATTTGTTTATTGCCGGTGCTTAAGTAGTATTTTTGTTGTTGCTGCATAATATTTTGCTTTATCTGTGTGTTTTTGCCCGTGCTGTTGTGTTGTCTGTTTTGTTTTATTGGGTTTTTTGTTTGTTTCTTTTTTTTTTGGGGGGGGGGGGTCTTTTTTTTCTTATATCAAAAAATCTCAATAAACATACTTTAAAAAAAATAAACGCACCATCAGCCATCATGCTAAATTTGCATCTTCAAAAGTCAATGCAGCCAGACTCACACCTGATTATAAATGTTCAGGAGACACTGTTTAATGTTTAGTGTTAACTTAAATCACTCATCATTTACAGTATTACAGAGTTCGGGGTTATGGGTTAGCACTGTCATGTTACCCGTAACTGTATTAACTATGGTAGTAACTTAACTAGCAGTATTGGTCAAATTACTTGAAAAAAGTAAACCAGTAACTATTAGTGATTACTTCCCCCAAAAAGTAATCCCGTTTTGTTACTGATTACTTATTTTCAAAAGTAATTAATTACTTAGTTACTTTTTAAAAACATGATTTACAACCTGAATAGGTGATAAAACGATAGATCTTTTAGCCCAATTCTACTTTTTCTGCATAATCCATCATACAAAATGTAATCAAATGGAAAAGTCTGTTTTTAAAACTTGTTTTATTAGTTTTAATCTTTTAACTTTATGCATCAAGCAAAAATGTAATTATATGCAACATTCTGACTAGAAGAAATTTGTTTAACATTTAAACCTATTTTCTGCACATTCCAGCACATAAAATATTTTTTTGTGTGTGTGTTTACACTCAGTCTTTCAAATAAATGCAAGTGAAACACAGCAGAAAATAAATAAAATGAAAGACTCAGCGGTCCTGTTGCTCTATTTTCACCTGTATAGCAGGCAGATGTTTGCTGGATTTCTTACCTGTAAACAGTGGGTCGTGTGTGATAAAAGCTTGTGCAGGAAGTAGCAGGTGTAGACTGGCCCACTGTATGAAGTGATAAGATGTGAAAGGACATATATAGGGTACCTTAAAAGTGTTTCCCTGAGCTTTTACTTGTGGCTTGAAATCTAAATAAATCGAAATAAATGTGAATTTAAAAAAGCGAAAAAAAGGAGGAGCCCGGAGCTTCGTCTTTTGCTCGGCCTACCCTGCAGTAGCAGACGAACCGTCAGAGACTCGAACTTGGTCGTTAAACTCTGGGGTCTGAATGCTGGCCTCTTAACGCTGCGCACCACACAGCCGGCCAGTTAATGCTATAAAAAAAAGGACATTTATCTTTTGTTCTTCAACAATTTTTTTTTCGTTTTTCTAAATCTATTTAGCTTCTTGTGCAGTATTGTTCCACACAAATGACACAAGGAAACCTAGCTATTTTTTATTGGCTTTCACAAAATGGGACTGCCAATGTTGTAGGTGTTACTGCCAAAGTCTTCCTGCTAGCCGGTGTTGTGCCAAAAAGTGATTGTCTGCCAAAAAGTGATTTCCGGTATTTGCCAAAAACTGATTGCTCGTATTTAAACTGCTATAAGTAACTTGTTGGCCTATAATATGTGAAACATATGTCAAATTCATCCCTCATGGATGACACAAAGTCATATTGAGCCACAAACAACATTCGTGTAACAAGGTAGAAGCCGCAATCAGTTTTTGGCAGCGACCTTTATAGAACCTTTATTTATGCAGTTAAAAAAATCTCATTAACATTAAAAATGTCTTTTGTAAGAGTAAGACAGCAGAAATGGCAGCAAATATTACAATAGTTCTGTAAAAATATTTTAAGTGGGGATAAAGGACCGGATTGGTTATAATGTGAGTACAATAACACAGAGTTATAAAGATACTTGAAAAAACAGATAATCTTTTAATTCTATATATAACCCCTTTGTAAACGCTGTTCACCGAAGTCTATTTACCAACATACGTAAAGATATTACACATAAAAAATACACGGAAACATTGGAAATCACTTTTTGGCAGGCAATCACTTTTTGGCACAACACCGGAAACCTGCTGGCGGCGCCACTATGTTCTCACCACACTCTTCAGCTTCAGCTTTGTTGCCTCTTTTCGGCACACCTACCTAGTCCCACTCATCCACTTTATCTGCTCATGGCAGATTTCCCCACACTGACCACTCCTTGGATTAAGGTAAATTCAAGCAGGTCATTACAAAAAAGACACACAGCTTATCATCGTATCCTTGTGCAACACCTAAAAGCACTCTGTTCATTTGTTTGCTAGATTAGCGGCTTGTTGCTGCACACCTGTTACTGTGTATTTTTCAATGGTTCAGCACTCCTTGGATTTTTAGACAGTAATGAGATCATGTGCACACTCCACAGAGGTCCAGAGTCCAAATGTGACCTCTAGCACCAAACGCTTGCTGCAGTTGTTGGTGTCAGAGGTGACACACAAGGTATCGGTTTTCATTGAGATTACTTTTTCATATAGGACCGTGTATGTTTGGATAGCTTTTTCCCCTTGAAAACTGCCGTTTAATATTAGACATTCTTGTCTAATATTATATGGATTGATCTGAAACGTGTAAGTGTGACAAATATGGAACAAGATACGAAATCAGAAAGGAGGCAAATATTTTTTCACAGCTCTATAGTCTGTAAATGATCTTTTGGCTATAGTAGATCTTTGACTTGTTCCTTTTTTAATTGTTTGTTAAAATTGTTTTTTCGATCATATTGAGTATAGACGAATGCAACTGTGAGCTTTAGCGATTAGCCCGTTTCAACAGGACCATGATCCTGATGTGTGAGACAGCAGGGTGCTGCCATTGGTGTTGTAATGTGTGATTTAGTTCCTCCTAACATTTCAGTTTGCTTCCAGTATCTATCCTCTGTGATTACTGGCTCTACAGACAGATTTAATAGAAGTGTGTGAGCTATTGGCTCAGTATAAAGGGTCAGTAGTCTTTTCATGTCACCTATCCATCCTCCATTTAGTCACCCAAAGCATGAAGTAAATACTCCTCACTTTTATTCATCTTCTCTTAAATTCAGATAAATTCCCAGTTGTTAACGTTGAGCTGTGTGTGTGTGTCAGTTGCAGCCACCAAGTTGAACACCAACACCAAATCCAACCTGGGTCAGTGTGTGTCAGCAAGTACGACCTGCTGGTCTGGTTTGAGATCAGCGAGCTGGAGCCCACTGGAGAGTGACTATCCACCTGGAGTGTTATATTCACGCACAAGCTTTAAAGGAACCATAAAAATTATCTCCAGGAAGAACATTATAAGTTGGGATGTTGTGTCACCTCCTCCCTCCATGCACAGGTACATCCCAGCCATCGTGGATCACAGTGGAGGCCTGCCCTGTCATGGTACCTACCTGCTGCACCAGGTACAGGATTGGTGCACATGTTGTTTCCTTATTACTCACACAGTGGTAACTGCTTCCTTTGTACACAGTTGAATATCTTATTTTAAAGTGTAATGTTTCTCTAGCTGTGCTCACTGTGATCCTGAGCTCCTGTTATGTTTGCTGCAGGGGATCCAGCGGAGGATGACAGTGACCCTCATCCACGAGAAGGGCAGCGAGCTCCATTGGAAAGATGTTCATGAGCTCGTTGTAGGTGAGCAGCCTGCCTTTAGGGTCTAGTCGTGCTTTACCTCTCTGTAGTAAACAAAAACCCCAAAGCACAGAAACAATGTTTTATAGTGTTTGTGTGCTTTTGATAGAGGAAGACAGGACAGAACATCATTAAAGGGATTTGACTTTGTGAGATCACACTGAAAACGCAACACTTGGTTCACTCTGAGATATTTTCAGTCTGGAAAGATGAATCTGTCGGGCTTTAGGCTGCTTCTCACTTTAAGCAGTTCATGCTGTAGCTGATGGACCAAAAAATGACATTTGATATTTTAGACATTCAGCTGCTGACTCTGAAGCCAACAGGCTCTTGAGTGTGGATGATTGTGTTGGTACTGGATGCTGTGATCAAACAGCTGTTCTGATCTGTCTTCATTCATGCCTGTTGTTATTAAGCCTCCTAAGCTCCAAACCAGTAAAAGCAATCTTTGGAGGCAGCACCCTTTTTAGTACTTTGCTGTATTTGTTTGTGATTGTGTGACACTGAACCACAGTGCTATGTATATCCTCTGTAACACTCAGACGTCTCCAGATCAGCATTTTCCCCCTAAGCTGTTTCTCACTACAGAGTCTTTCCTCTGTAGAAATGAGGCCAATGAGGCACCAGCAGAGCGTGTCTGGCTCTCAGTCTGTGGTTGATAGTGCCCCCTGCTGTTAATAACAGGAACAGTGTAACTAGGGCTGGGTATCGTCACTGATTTCTAGAATCGATTCAGATTCACAAGGTCCCGAATCAATTCGATCCACATTTTGATTCAATTAGATTCGATTTGAATCGGGGAAATTTTGCCTCAGACAGTCAGAAATATTATAATTCAGATCAGTACATTTACATATTTTTGTATCTATAAAAAGGAAGCTGACACTCGCAAGACTTTGTCAAAGGTGTGAGCATCACAGCAGATGCCTTTGTGTCGAAGTAGCTGAAGATAAAACACAGAAGGTGATTTTCCTGGCCTGGGATTTTATAAAAATATTCTGCAGTACATCAAAAACGAAAGAAAACCATTAATCAACACATGAACATTACCTCTGAAGTTACAACGGTTTTATTACAGACACAGCATTTTGCATAATTTTAAAAAGTTTACATTTGTTCAGAAGCCTATAGAACGGCAGAAATTAGGTTTTCTTTTCGGAAGTAAGTAAAAGGGAAAAAAACATCGGCCGACAGCCTGTAAACAACTTGTGCGTAACAAGCAAGCAAATAATGCAGAAAACAGATTTTTGGACTGGAAACTGTTCTTGAAGTGTACTGTGTGTGTGTGTGAGAGAGAGAGAGAGAGATGTGCATGAAGTGTGGTGGAAGCAAAACAGTAAAAGTCAGAGGGAATTCATGACGATGTTTTTGTGAAGCTTAGTTTGGATCTTCTTTTGCTGCTGGTTCAAGGTTCAAGGTTCTTTATTTGTCACATGCATAGTTATACAAGTATAACACACAGTGAAATGTAGCCTGACATGCTCCTCGACATGTGCAAAAATTGGGGGGGGTGTAGAGGAAGAACATTATATATATATATGTACATACATATAGTATATACACTGGGTGAATGTGCAGTAGTAGCAGCAAGCAGGTGAATTCTGTACATTAATATGAATAGACATCTGACTATTTTACAGGATAGACAATATAAACATATTTAAAATTAAAGGAATTTGAAATGTACATTGTGCCTTGGTTTAGTGTCTGGAAGAGTCCTGTCTCAGTCAATTATAGATGATGTGAGAGGGCGGGTGTGTGTGTTTAGAGCACGGATGGCTTGGGGATAGAAGCTCCTCTTGAGTCTCTCTGTCCTTGCCCGGAAGATGCGGAACCTTCTACCAGATTGCAGAAGTTGGAACAGTTTGTTGCCAGGATGGGACGGGTCCTTCAGTATCTGCGCTGCTCTAGTCCGGCATCTCCTGGTGTAGGTGTCCTGAAGCGGGGGGAGAGCAATCCTGCAGCAGTGTTCTGCTGTACGGATCACTCTCTGGAGAGCTTTTTGGTCCTTCACACAGCTGTTCCCGAACCACGATGTCATGTTCTGTGTGAGGATGCTCTCCACAGCGCCTGTATAGAAAATCCTGAGGATCTTTGGAGAGACCCTGAACTTCCTCAGTTGTCGTAGGTGATACAGGCGCTGCCTAGCCTTTTTGGTCTGGACCTGAATGTGGGCAGCCCATGTCAGGTCTGAGGAGATGTGGACACCAAGATACTTGAAGGACTGCACCCTCTCCACTGGAGCTCCATTGATGATGATGGGCTTGTAGTCTCTGTGCTGACCCCTTCTGAAGTCCACCACCAGCTCCTTGGTCTTGCTGACGTTCAGCTGGAGGTGGTTCGGTCAATATTGTTTGGAGAGAGATCAAACTAACAGCTTTAGAATCAGCGCAAAAAGGGTGTAAACACAAAGCGCGGAGCCGCCGAAACATCGGAATCAGGAGCTGTCGCCTTTCAGCCCCGACCGTGTCCGTGCCGTCGGGTGAGAAAGGCGACATCTCACTGATTCTGATCCGCGGGTCCGCGCTGTGTGTTTACGTCTTTGTGTAGAATCCGTGTACCTGCTCTCATTTACTGTTTTAGCTGTTTGGTGGTTCTTGAAATTTTGTGAGGTTTAATCTGAGATTCTGGCGTTTTGGGCAAAATAAATTAATATTAAAAAATCGATTCAGGATTTTAATGAATCGATATCACGTTATCCAAGCCAGAATCAATTTTTATCGATAAATCGACAAATCGTGAGCTCAGACCATTTTATTTCTTTCTGCATAAAATACAAATCTGCATCATTTTTTAAAAAAGTGCTTTAAGCTGAACTAATTGTCCCTTTTTTCTAGAACCTGGTGAATCACCCTCTCTTCACTGTGCAGAGACTGAGGTTGTCAGCTGTACAGAGCTCAATGATATTTTACAGAAAAAAATCCCCCGAGGTCCACCGAGTCAAGAGCTATCAACACTGGTTCTGTGGACAAAGTCCTGGGAAAGATATACAGTAAATCCCAAAACACGCTGTGCCAAAAAGAATTGGTCCACCCCAAGGATCGGGTCCCCCGACACAAACAGATTAACATAGTGTACGCTGTTAAGTGCCAGGAGGATTGCAAGGATTTATACATCGGGGAAACCAAACAACCTCTGGCGAACACGGAAGAGCTACCTCGTCAGGCCAGGACTCTGCAGTCTATTTACACCTACAGGCCAGTGGACACTCTTTCAATGATGAGGATGTAACATCCTGGACAGGGAGGAACACTGGTTTGAGCGCGGAGTCAAGGAGGACATTTACATGAAAAGGAAAAGACCATCTCTGAATCGAGGAGGGGGCCTAAGGGTTCATCTGTCAGCATCTTACAATGCTGTGATTGCAGCCATTCCCCAAATCTCTGTGAATGGTATTCATGGCCATTGATCAGTGGGTTTTGGTCAGTGGTTGTTGATGAATGGTCATGAGAGTTTGCATAATTAAGATTAAAGAACTGACCTCCCAGCCCATTGTTCCTTGAGTGGGCTGGTTTCAGTCATTATGCAAATGTACTGTTTATAAGGTTGGGGAAACCTGCAGTCAGCTGAGACTGAAGAAGTCACTTGGATGAGTGACGAAACATTTCTCCCACAAAACGCTACGTCCAGATGAACAGAATCAACTTTTAGAGGTCTCATTTCAGTTGTCTCAATGCACTTTATACTGTAAATTAAAAAGCCTACAATAAACAGTGGCAGCAGTTGGCTATTGTCTCTGAAAACAGGGTTAACTGGGCGCGCCCCTTATTCCACTGAAAACTGTAGCACATCTTAATTTCATAGCCTCGTCTGCATTCGATTAAAAATCACTTCAAGCTGAGTCGCCTGCAGCTTTATCTGGCTGGGTGCACATGGGCATTATGGATAAATCCCTGGTTTTTAACAGGAGGTTAAAATGTCACTGGCTCTGCTTTCAGTATTCTGAGATCAGTTACAATCTGCTTTTTGCATGGAAACAGGACTAGCATTAGCAATAAACATGGTTCTTGTCATCGTGATAGATAAGTTACAATGTTGATTCTTAGGACTCTTTAGCACATGAATAAGGAAAGCCTTGACAGCAGACAGTGGGACTCCTGCCATATTCTGTTTAACCACACAGGCAAGTTGAACAGTTACAGGTGCAGCCAGTATTTTATTTTTAATATATTTAAATTATCTTTGTAAATCAAGTTGCAGGCCTGGTTTTCTGAACTCATTAATGATTATTTTGAGATATTTGGCCCTCACAGGACAGACACCATACAAACATATGCTTTTAAAGATGATGATGGATTAGTGTAGATTCAAAAGAGCAACGTATTTAAAATCAGCTCTGGTTTAATTATCTGTAGCAACACTATGAGTCCATACAACACTGAAGGGGAAACGTTTTGGCAAAATAAATACTTGTACATGTGTACATTTAGGTAGTAATACAGTTCTATCTGTGCTGAGGTATTTTGAAGGTGATCTGTTATTATAAATTCTAGTGCCATCCAATAATTAGCCATAGTGCATGAATGTAGATTGTGCCTGACTTTTTAACTGCACTCCTTTCTGAGTGTATCCAGTATGTAAATATAAATGATTACCTGGCACAATGGTCTGCTGTAAGGTGGAGTTATGACGTCCCAGCTTGTTCTGGGCTTCACAGTAATAATGCCCACTGTGTTCAGGTCTGAACTTGGTGACGGTGAAGTTCTGTCCAAATGCTTTCGGTAAATTTCCATCCTCCTTGTACAAGGTGTAGTTAGCTGCTGGGTTAGCATCACTGCTACAGGTCAGAGTGACTGAACTGCCCTCCACTATCTCAGCAGAGGGGCTCACTGACACAGTGGGAAGCCTTGGACCATCTAGGAAACATGTAAAAAAGTCAAATCAAAATCACTCCTATAACCCTAAAAAGTATTACTTTGAAAGTTTTGGACAAAA